AAAAAAAAATGTAGGAAAGCATTATTGTAGACATCCAATCATTTGTATTCACTAGACAACCTGTATGCCTCCTTAAAGACTATTAAAACATTTCTTCTGGCTCTAGCCATCTGCCCTGCTCTGCCCCCACCCTCCCTAACTCCATTACTGAGGTGAGACTTGCCAAAGGTTAAACATTCACCTGGTAATTCATTTAGCCTGGTAATCAGAAATCACTCAGTTTCCTTTGAAAGGCATAACTTCAGCAAAAATTTTGTCTCCACAGGAGACCACTGGGAAAGAATTTTAAATGAGAAAAGAAAGAATTTCCAAGTCTTCGACATTGAATTTAAGTATAATTATTTTATTCCATTTTTCTTCACTTGAAATTTGTCAATAACTATGTGTACCTAGTCTTATTATGTGTTAATTAAAAAAAAACTAAGGGAGACTCGTGGAAATGAGGTCTGTAAGGTTCATCTCTGTCTTACGTTACCACATACACACGCGCGCTCGCGCGCATGCGCGCGCGCAAACAAAATGACAAAAGCAGGACTTCTATTATTGCATAGTCTTCTAATTGATGCTTTTTTCATAAGGTTCAACTTCATTTTAACAGAAAAATACATTAAAAGGTATCAATAGGGGGCCAGAGAGATAGCTAATTATTTAAGAGCACTTCATGCTTCTTCAGAGGAGCTGCATTTGGTTCCTGACACCCACATCTAGCAGCCCAAAGCCTCGTGGTAAATCCAGTTCTTGGTATTCCATTTATGATCTTCATGGGCCCAGGCATGGTACACATACATATACTCTGGATGGCAGTCATACTCATACACACGTGCACACACAAAAGAAAAATATGTTTTTTTAATTAAGTTTTTTTGTTTGTTTTAGACAGGGTTTCTCTGTGTAAGCCCCACTGTCCTGGAACTTGCTCTGTAGACCAGGCTGGCCTGAAACTCACAGAGATCCATCTGCCTCTGCCTCTCAAGTGCTGGCTCCCAAGCCCAGCTTAAAAATAAATTTAACAAATCAAAAGGTTGTTAGAAGGGTTTAACCAAACAAGAAATTACTGCAGAATTAATGATATTTTCATTTCAAAACCATTAACAACTCCAATTTTTAGAACAAAAAAGAAACCAATACAGATGCAGAATAAGGCAACAAAGGTGCAAAGTAGAAAACCTGAAAGGCAAGAGATCTTTACTACAATAATCTCAAGGGGCTAAATACAAACCAGTACGAACTGATTTCACTGTAGCAGAAGGAAAAACACACATAGCAATTCCAAACATCCTTCACTAACAGAAAGTGAGTCCAAATATAATAGTGAAAATTGTAAGCTAATAGAGAAAGCAAACACCTGACCACAGCAACCTCTAAAGAACATCAGAATAATATAGTCATCGTTACATTAAAGTAATCTAATTTTAATAAATGGTTACTCCGCTTCTTTAGAGCAACACAGCTTGCCTCCATTCCCAGGACTTTGACCCAAGAAGAAGAAACACACTAAAATCTGTCAGTTTCAGGAAAAACAGCTCTGTAGCCAAGAGCAGGCAACCACTTTCTAAAGACGGAGAGCCTTCTATCAAACTACACCCAACATAGACACAGTTACATTTCTAACAACCACTTATATATATGAGTCAAAGTGGGACAGGCTTTGTAACAAACAGTTCAGAAACTTGGCAAGCCTCACACAGCTTGCAGAAGCCATAGTATATTTCACTCACGTTTTTACCAAAATTCCATACAGCATCAATTAAAGACGCTCCCTTATCTGATGTTCCATTGCAAATTCAACTACAGATGGAAATAGGCAAGGGGAGGGAAACTCACACTTACTGAACACCTACAAACCTCTTTTGGTGACTACTCCCTGAAGGACTTAGTGCAGCAGCTATTGGCACAGCGGGGACATTTTAATGGGTATTGGAAGTAACTTAAAAACAACTCCAACTGTGAGAGGTTAGTGTGCAGGTTAAGATGAAAACACTACCCCATTGTATATAATAAGGTGCTGTAGCAGTTGAGGATCGGGTGGGGGCAAACCTCTGTGGACACTGGGGACTCTATTAGGTTTTCATACAAGCAAAAGCCTCCCCCAGGGCTCCTGTCACTACTTTGCTGGGCACTGTCACCTTTGCCATTCTTTTAGGTGTGATCAACATTTCAGGAGGTTGCTGAGTTTAATAATCTTTAAACGTGGCCTAAATATGCATCACATAGAAAAGATAGTCAATAGCATTTTTAGATGGGTGTAGTACCGAAGATGAAACCCAGTCTTCTCACACAGTAAGCAAGCACTCTACCACTGAGCTCTATCGCCAGCCAGACAAGGTCTCACTGCATCCAGACTGGCTTTGACCCTAAGATCTTCCTGCCTCAGGCCCAGCTAACAGTGTTTCTTTCTTTGTGAGAATCTCACTGGACACTTACAAACAGAAAAGGAACAGAAACTCTCATTGCTGGAGCCCACACCAGCACAAACTTCTGAATCTTCAAGCCCAGCATCACTCCACTGAGATGTTCACACAGTGAAGGGGGGGGGGGGGGGGA